TGTTTCCCCTCAAACGCCCATCCCGTGACCCCTCCAGCACCCACCTACCTGCCCCCCTTCTGTCTCCCCTCAAATTCCTTTCCCCACTCCCTCCCTGATCTCAGTCTGTCTCCCCCTAATCCCTACATCCCCCAACTTCGGCCTGTCCCCCCAAACTCCCGTGCCCGGCTGCTCTTTGCAGAGGGTCTCACAGGCCCAGAGGGCTCAGGGGGGTTGGAAACTCTCTCCCTCGCCAGCGTCAGGGCCGGCTCCAGGCACCAGCCGAGCAAGCTCGTGCTTGGGGCGGCAGATTTCAAAGGGCGGCATTCCGTCTAATCCTTTTTTTTGGTTTTGTTTTGTGCTTCACCGCTTTGGCCGCCCCTGCAGGTTTTTTCTTTTTGGTTTACTGCTCCCGCCGCCCTGTAGGGGGCGGAGGAGGGGAGCGCCCTGCAGCAAGCCCGGTAGGGCAGCCCGCGTCCTTCCCTGCCTGCCGAACAGAGCGGAGCGGCACGGAGCCCTCCCAGCAGGCGGCGCAGCGGGAGGGGCCGCGTGGCAAGCGCCCCGCTTAAGGAAGCCCTGGCCACCCCCCTTCTCTCCCCTCCCGCTAGCCGGGGTGCGCACTTCGCCGCCTGGGGTCTGCAGGACCAGGAGTCCCCCTGCACCCACGCTCCCACCACCCCACAGGTATTTTTTTGTCTGTTTTTATTTTTTCTTTTTTTCGCCGCTCCGGCAGGTGGGCCAGTTTGTCATCCCCCCTGCCTGCCGCTCCGGCCGGGGGCAGGTTTGTTCCCCCCGCCTTTGCTGCTCCGGCCGGCCGATTTGTTCTCCCCCCTCCCTCTTCGCCGCTCTGGCCGGGGGCAGGTTTGTTTCCCGGGCCCCCTTTGCTGCTCCGGCCGGCTGGTTTGTTCTCCCCACCCGCCATTCGCCGCTCCAGCTGGGGGCAGGTTTGTTTTCCTCCTCCCCTCCCGCCCCGTTGCTGCTCCGGCCGGCCGGGCGTTTTTTGCTTTGGGTGGCAAAAAAGCCAGAGCTGGCCCTGGCCAGCGTTACACAGGTCCGGGGGCCGGGGCTCATTTCAAACCAAGCCCCTGGTTCTACTCGGCTCCTGGGCAAACCCCCAGCAGCAGCCGTTCAAAGGCAAAGCTTTCGGGTTAAACCCACGGACAAGGAATCAAACCCGACCTGTCTATTGAAACGGGGGCTGAGCGACCGCAGCCAACAGCCGGAGTCAGACCGGCTCCAAGTCTCACTCTCTCGGGAGTCACTGGAGCAGAGCCGCTTGTTCCCAGAACAGCTGGGCTTTGGGGGGAGGAACTGGTTCATTTCACTCGCCAGACGGACGGGCAGGGTGGCCGCTGACCCCGCTCCTAGTGTAAGCGGGGGAATGGTCCCGCTATTGTGGGAAACTTTCCTGGTTTATACACGCCCCGGTGGGATTAGCTAGCGAAAGGATCTGAGTCCTCGCTCCCACTCCCTTTACCCAGAGGTCTGCCTGACCTCGAGGGCTCCCCTTCCTCCTTCCCATGTGGCAGACACCTTGTAACCCCGGCAAGGCTGGGCCCGGATCCCTGGTGCTCCACTCCCAATCTTGTTTTGGTCACTTAGGACAGGGGCGAGGGTGTCCCCACTCTGGGCACTCTCTTTGCACCGGCTGCTTCCCTGACTCATCAACACAGTGAGTTCAGAGCATGTACAATTTATTAAACAGCAACTCATAAAAAACAAGTAAAAATGGGGAAGGTTAAAGGAAACAAGTCACCCACCCTCTGGGCACAGGGACACCACAAACAGAAGTCTCTGCATGGGAAAGGAAGTTCACAGTCTGTTCTTCAAATGTTCCACGTCTCTTTCCTAGGCCCTGGTCACGCCAGGGTGATACCACAGAGTGACAATCTATATCTCGAAGTAGCACCGTGGAGCCCCTGTATTCACCACTACGATAGAATTATGATAGGTTGGGTACAAAGTTGCCTTGTGAGGCATCATTTTAAAGTCTTGATCTCTTGAACATTCATGTCCTGTTGTATTGTATCTGCTGTCCTTGTGTGGGACGTTCTGAAGCATCGCTGTGTGTGCTACTGAAATATATTTTGAGCTTGGGAGATGCCCAAGGCCAACCTTTCAACTGCAACAGAGGATCAGGCAAACAATGTTAATGGCTCTTCAACACTCATCAAGGAAAGAATCCACTATCCCAGAGACTGTGTACAATGGAGATTGCTGGACCAATAGGGACTGGCTGATCCCCGGGTCACAGTAAAGATCTTTCCAGCAAACTGGCAGAAAATATAAAAGAGGGGAAGGGACATAATCCTTGGGCTTCTCTTCCCCACAACACAACACCTGGAGGAACATCTGGAGGACAAAGACTTTGAACTGGGGAAGGCTGGTCCCAGGCTGGGATGGAGTCCAGTCTGTGTACTAAGGATCTGTAACCTGCTTGTCCCATCTGTCAGGGGGAGACACTGCCTGATTCAAATCCTGTTTCATTTGTAGACCTTAGAATACAAATATATTTTTATTTCTTAGGTAGCCAACTCTGATCTCTGCGCCTGCTCCTTATAACCACTTCAAATCTCTCCTTCTGCAGTTAATAAATCTGTTTTATATTTGACCTAAAATGGTATGTTTTGGTTGAAGTCCTTGGGAAATCTCAGCTCAGTATCTTTCTTTGGCACTGGGAGCTGGCCAACCAAAACCTCCACAAAGTGTCAGTGAAGGGTCAACAGTCCCCTCACATTAGCAAATGGACAGACAGCTGGGGGGGAGAGAGAGG